TTCTGAGGGGTGAAAAAAACAGAGTTAAAGTGAAATGAAAAATTATTATAACCTCCTCACTAGCCTAAAAGTATGAATAAATATTCAAAAGTTATGAAAATTAAATCTTTCCGAAACGCGACGGAATTTCCGAAAGTTATCCGGACGCTGTTCGTACCTTTCTTGGCAGAAGCTGTGAAATTTTCTAACTTTTGATTCATCGGTGAACATTGTTCAAAGTAATTAAGTTCTCAGTTCAGAAATACCATGGACTTTTCTTCAGAGCCCGAGATGACATAATATTTTGTTGCGATGAATGGGGACAATAGTCCCTCCCATAAAACTGTAAAAAGAGGTCATTGTACAGTACCATGTTTTTTCCAAAGTCAGATGGCAGCTTTTGAATGAATGCAAATCTGTACAGACTAAATCTTTGGATTGGCGTATATTTACATATATATATATTCGTTCTCTATAATGATTTCCAAATCAATAATTCAGTAATACAATAACTAAATAAGGAGGTTAATAAACAGATGCTATTGCCCACACTATCCTAGTGGAAATACCAAACAATGCTCAACAGACTGTCGAGTTTAGAATGAACTTCTTTGATGGATTTCAGAGAACTTAAACAATCAAAAAAAGTTAACATTTAAATAAGAATATGCCAGTCACATACACGTGCTTTTAACTATATACATATTTCATTCAACTATTGCACAAAGGGGATCACGTCCATCGATTGCGTGGTTGGCATTTATCATTCCAATCAGAAACGTAGCCCAATGTATTATCAAGGCTGTTTCTATTTCGACACCTTTACCAAGTGTAGAACCTCAGGTAAATCAAAGTAACATATCCCTGATTCACGTTCCCATGAATACACTCAGCAGTTTTGTCAACTCTGGGTGTCACAGTGTAAGGCCTGCTTATTGTAATTGAGGGGGCCACCCACAGAACTCGCACTGGACAGGGGGGTTCTTTCACTTCGAGAATGGGGTAGACAAGACAATAGTACTGGAAATTAAATGCACATACACCAAAATATCGAGTTAAAGCCCCTGGCACTCAAAATACTGACAAAACAAAACACATAAAATTACAATAAATAAATTCACTAAAATAGGGGATTGCCTAAGGAAGTGTGCATTGGATGTGGAAATTGATGACAGTCAATGGCTTCTGCAATTATATTCAATAAGAGGGTAAATCACATAATGCATTGCATATTGTTAGGCTGTAAACTCCAGTGACACTAAAAGACCTTATCTTATTGGTCTGCGAGTTTCTGTTAGTTCACTTGTTGCATTTGCGCATACATAATAAATTAGGGAAGATCCCTGTATTCCATTAACCGACAAGATAACTGTTTTTGTATTTGTACTATAGTATCCTACTTTTATTTCCCCCAGCGACACAGGTAACTTTGTGAAATAACCAAGGATGAGTAGCTCAACACATATATGTGCAGTAACTGACTAAGAAATAAAAATGCATACATGACGTTTCACATTGCCAAATTGACACAGTTTTGCTGAAGCGCACCATTCATGGCAATCCATGCAAACGATGATGAGAAGACGGTTGAACTATTTAACCTTGACTTGCAAAGATCAGGTGACACCCGATTAATTAACCTTGGTGTGCGAAGTCGACCGTCTCACTGTATGGATTTCCAGCTGAATGTTTTTATATACTGATTTGCAAGCTTTTGCATACAAGGTAGTGTAATTGGGCGATGATATGGGAAAACACGCGCACTGGGCACTATTGTGACTAATTATTTAAATTTTTCACCTCTTTTAATAGTTTTCATAATATATCATTATATCATCCACACTCTTCACAGCAACATACCTGCGTCAGCATGTTTTACTAAAAGTTGTACCACCCTGCTGTTTTTAAGTAAAAGGAGAACCGGAGTAGGAGTTTTATCGAAAACAATTCTGTTTAATCTGTTAGCAATCAAATAACCAGTTTGTTAATTTGGCGAGTTTTTATAGTCGATTTCTTTTTTGTAAGCAGTGCACACAAAAAAAAAGACACAGGCCCCAAAATAGGAAAAACTTGTACTACCAGCTTACTGTTAGCAACGGTTAACAGCTTATTCGAAAAACTGGAGACTGAATCGCACTGTTTTTGCTACGATGCACACTCAGTGCAACAAAGAACAGAAGGCAAGGCAAGATGGCATGGGCCATGAAAATCTATAAGGTCATGAGGCTCCCCCTGACCTAGATTTCTTTCTCCGTCATTGGCTGAATCACAGATTAATGCCTATAGTTCAAAATAGTCATTTTGACTAACCAGAGTTTATGATGGGTAATTGAACATAGTGAATTCTAGCATATTATAAGCTAGATATGTCAGGCACTAAACTAGTTTCAGTACCTGTAGGTGAAAGATTAATAAAGTGTGATCTAATGTGTTAGTTAACCAACATATGAATTGGACTTGTTCACGTGTTTGTACACATCAATATACTCATGTTCAACCCACACACTAAGTGACATACGCTTCAACAATATTTTAATTTCATTAATAAAAACAACATTACAATTTCCAATGTTTTATAAATTGGCTACATAAATCATATAATTGTGTACCAATAGATCATTAAATATTTCAATCCATTAAAAAAAAGTAATATTGAATTT